TATATAAATCTGAGTAATTCATCTATATCAAATATATGTACAAATTTTAAATGAGGTTTAAAGAGCCTTCTTGACAAGAATTTTAAAATATCAAACCCAAATGATTCATAGAATCTTTCACAGTCCCGCCTATTAATGTAACATAAATGTTTTTACATGTCTATGTAACCATCAGATTCTCCAGATGATAAGTTTTATCTCTCTATATCATCAGGAACCTCACTCATCGATGCTTTATTCTTAATTTGCAGGAATAAAATAATTGAATGAATGAAACAACATTAGAGGGCCTGATTCTCTTTCTTAGGTAAGGCAATTAAACACTTTGAGAATTTGCCCTGGATAGAATGGATCTTATGAGGAACATTGCAGTCATGAGGTGGCACTGGCTTGCACTAGCATCTGAGGTCTATTTATGTGCATCTCTTCCAACATTTTTCTTTAAGGACAATGTACTCCCAGGACATCGGAAAACTACAAACGCAGGCTCACCACGCTGCAGAAAGCCAGACCACACAACGCATTTTGCTCAAATGGGCATTAGCACTTTGGGGATTTTTTTTACGGTAAAAAGTCCTAATTGTTGGAGTGCACTGCAGAACCAAACATACATGCTAATCTTTTAAATCGAGGTCCCAGCTCATTAAGGTAATCAAAACTTTCATCCTGGTCGGTGTCAGTTGACCCTAAGGAGCTCAGGGAGCCGGCCAAGGACCCCAGGCCCTCGAAGGCGTAGGTCTGAAGGGAGTCAAAGGGTGGGGCGCACGGGTCCGAGTCCGCCTCGTCCAGCTTCTCCAGGATGAATTTCCTGAAGAGGGCGCTGTCAGGGCCCACCTGCAGGGACTGCCGGTAGAGGCTCCGGATCTCCGCGGAGGTGGTCTTGCGAGCCCTGCGTTCCCGCATCACCGCGGTGCTTCTGAGCTCGGCGATGTCGAAGGCCTCTGTGTCTTCTTCTCCGCCTCCTTCATCATCGTAGCAGAAGATGTTCTCTCCGAAGAGGTCCCCTTTCTCAGGAAAGAGGATCTGCTTTCTTTGTTGTCTTAGAGCCAACATCAAAAATATAAACCCTGATGAAGAAAATGTATCAGAATGTGAATGAGCGCACACACAGAGCATAATGAACTCCACAATCCTGAGCTTGTTACAAGCTCCAGACACAACCTTGATTTTGAAGATAACGTGACAGAAAGTAATTTAAAACTGGACTTGCAAAATGACATAAGGAAGAAGATAACAAACATTCTGGCTGATGACTTAGAGAGAAAACACTGTGAAAATACAATGAACTGTTTTCTCTGAACAATTTAGAATTCAAATTTGACTTTTCTCAAATATCAAAATGGAACCAAGTAGATTAATGGAGCATTTTTCCAATCTGAAGACACTTGGCAAACTTAGTGACCAATGAGTCCGGTTAAAGTAAGTTCAGAACAGGACAGTTTGATATTCCACATTAAGGGGACATTCTGTGACATGATTATTTTCTAAGTTGGTATTTATTGACCACAAAATATATGTCAGTTTCTT